AATTTTCCGTGTCTTCTATATTTTTCGAGATATTTATATTTTTTATTATAAATAGACCATCCTGTGTATAACGCGCGGACACGTCTTTAGTATAAATATATAATCAAGATTATACACTAGTTAGATTTCTGGATATTCTTTCATATCTCAAGGATTTTTCTAATGTTCAATCTAGGTCCTGGCTCTATTCCTCCTTGTAGTAGCGGTAGTTTTGGCAGAGGACAAGTATACGACAAAGTATGACAATATCGACTTGGATACAATTTTGGCGAGTGACCGTTTGCTCAAAAACTATGTAAATTGCTTGCTGGAAAAGGGAAGTTGTACGCCCGATGGCAAAGAACTTAAAGGTGAGCGTTTCAAGATTTTACTAATAATTACTCTTCGTTATCTCGTCCGTTTTGGTTTAAACATTAATATTATTACTTAAATCAACTATATCTTTTGTAATGCAACGTAATAATAATAAAAAAAAAACGAACTCGAAAAAACGTGCCTGATGTCTGTGCATTTGGCGCGATAACGTGGCAAAACATGCACGATGAAATGAGACGGTAATGACGGATCTTTCACACGCTTTCTAATGCGCGGGAGAATCATCCTTGGCACTAATGGCCACCTCATCCCGTCTCATCTCTTCGAAGGATGCGCGATGCAAGGTCGTTTCGTTAACGATGCTACATATGTACGAAGCGCGCACATATCGCTTCAGCCTCAGATATGAATAATACGCTACAACGGCTGCTGCTGCTGAGGAGATTTGGGCAAAAAGCACCTTCGCCGCGAGACATTTTGCGCGTGTATAACGTTCGCGGTTAGTGTCGCGAAGAACAAACCCGTCAGTTTTTTTTTAGCGTGAGAATTTTGCCCGCACGAACATAACGTTTGCCCGCGCAAAAATATTCTGTACAGACTCGAGTACTTCTCTCTTTCTCTTTATGGCACGCGTCGACTAGAAACCAATTACTTGCTCGGTGTATTTCCACAGATTGCATTTCCTGCAAATTGCATTAATTACTTGTCGCACGTATCACGATTTATTTCTCTCCGTTGGAATCACGTTTATCGTCTGTTTCTTCTCGAATTTCTTTTTACCTTCGCGTGCTACCCCGTCGCGAGATAAAACGTGCGATGGACGGTAATACGTTACCGAGGATATATAGTCTTGTCTCAGAAAATTCACGAGATATGCGGGGGTGTATGGTCAGCTGACCAGAGCAGCTGGTGCAAATGACGCGGGGCGGCAAAAAAGCCAGGACAAATCCAGCGGGACATCGCGTATATTCGAGAAATAACATACGTCATTATGAACTCCACCTACGAAGAACTCTCCCGTCGCGATAAAAAGGAAGGGTATCTTACGGAAGGGTATATTCGCTAAAATATATTTACCGACAAAAAAAGAAAAAGAAAGGAATTAAATCGATATTTCGGGAGAAAGATAAAAAAACGACAATTCTGAAAATTGTTTGAAGAATCTTAGTTGCGTAATTTTATAACATGTACTTGCTTCCAACGCGATTGGACGGCCACGTCCCTGATCTGAATTCCTCCCGTAATTTTTTTTCTCTTGTTCGTTTCAGAAACCCTTCCGGACGCATTGGCGACCGAGTGCAATAAATGCAGCGAGAAGCAAAAGAAGGGCACCGAGAAGGTCGTCCGGTATCTAGTCAACAAGGTATATACTCGCGCTAACATGTATGCCCGCCCGTCACTTTTCACCGGGCTAATTAAACGCGAGGTCTGCGTAATGAGTTGATGCCAGTGGGAGTAGGAATGCTCGGGGGATACGTCGAGGCGGTTTAAATGCCGCGGAACTAGTTTGACTTTCACGCAGAGACGGGTTAACCCTCTCCGCCGGGTGGCGGCCCCGTGGCACGGGGTGTCCCCGTGATTCGTTTGCGAACCACGCCCGGAAAACTTTCGTATCCGTAGCCAAATAATTTAACGGCGATGTGAATCCGCCATCCCTTCGATCCGAGCCCTTTTTTTCGAAAACTGATTTCACCCCCGACTGGGCAGTCATTTCGTTTTACAGGGGTTTTAAGCTATTTCATCTTGAATCTATTGCGTTTTACAGCAATTTCTGAAACATTTAAACGTATTTTTACGCATGAAAATATAGTCATTTTTTTAGTCCTATAAAAAATATTTTTTAATATATAATATATAAATTTGTCTTTAAAATTTAGTTGATCGTATTTTTACAACGTTTGTGCATTATTGCTTTTTGACTGAATTTCACGATGACGTTTTAGCAACGATACAGCGTTATCTCAGTGCGTTTCTTAATACAAAGTATTAAAATCAAAAAAATGAAAAATTTCAGAGTAAAAATCTTTATGTTATATGAATGTAATTAACAATTTATTTTCGATAAACGCAATCCTGTTACACAAGATACAAGAGTGATTGCTTATTTGACCATTTATTTTATTTCAGAAACCGGAAACTTGGGAACAACTTAAGAAGAAGTACGATCCCACTGGCCAATTCACAACCAAGTATGTAGACGACGCGCACAAGCAGGGAATAAATGTGTGAATAATTTAGATTCTCATCTCGCCGAGTAGAACGTCGAGAAATCTGTGTGTCCCCTCTTCTTCTCACACTCTGCACCCGAATTAAATAAATTCGTTAGTTCTACGTCACATACAACGTTTTCTCAACTGAAATTCAGAAGCTATGAAGAAACACAATGTTGCCAGAGATTATGATAAATAATAAACGAGTAAGTGAAAAAGGATATTATCGCGATTGATTTTGTGGCGAATTATAGTAATTCAATTATCGTCATCGATCATTTACCGCAGTAATTTTCATCTCCTCTCGAATTCTCTTGGTCCTTACTCCTTCCCCTATCTTTGTCCTGATAGGCGAACTACGTTTGTACACCAGTCACGACCGGCAATAATATATTTCTTGGGTGCCGCGGCTCTTCTCCCGAAAGCAGTTCGACACTTCGGGAAGAGATAAATCTAGGCACAATGCCGAGAAAAGTTCCCTGGCCGAAGTTTGAGGTCCGAACGTCGCCCTTGAGACCGCCTCGCTTAATTTCCTGACGCTGTCCAATACGAAATATATGTGCGCATACCTATACGGAACGTAGCCTCGCCATTCTCCGAAGCTCGCCGGAAACAGACGGCGATTTTGTATTTCCATCGTCCTAGATCGAGCGACAGCGAAGCGTCCCGACCATCTACTCAAGAAGCTCTCTCCCGTCTCTAGGGAAAACGGAGAGCGTATTTCATCGTCGAGGAACAAGAACATCGGACGATAATCGATACCGTTCAGTCAGGTAACGACTGGAATCAACTTCTTGGAGTTATCAAAGTTGCATAAGGACTAACGAGAACGGTTTCGCGCGACACGCGTTTGCTCGTAGATTAAGTTCCGTCATTTCGAAAAATTGATGAGCGTCCCCGTGGCGTTTGCATTAAGATTTAAATAAAGCGAAGGACACTTTTTTTTCTTTTTATCCTGCATGTCCGCCTTCGACGCGATAATTCCCGACCCGTCTCTCTCGCGCGTTATTAAATTAAAGAAGTTAAGGGTTCACCGAGATGGGCCGACAAGTACACATGCATAACTAATTACCCCCTTCGTTGCGCTTCCTTCGCCACACCCTTCTGTTTCCTCCCTCCCCGGACAACGAACTTTGTCGACGACGCGCGCGCGCGTTAAATATGTAAATGAATTACGAGATTAGTGTATAGTCAACTTAAGCAGTCGATTTAAATGCACCGCGACGGACCGAAGGTGCGAGGCGGTGCGGCGGCACAATGACGTAGCGGGGGGGAGGGTGGTCGAGAGTCGAGGGTCACTCGAGCGATTGGGATCGCGCAAATCGAGGGGGAAAATTCGCGAGGGGGGGGGAAGGGTGGCTCGAGAGGAGAGGGGAGAATTTGCGGCGGTGTGCGTTGGCGATTCGAGAAAACCGAAAATTCAATCTCCGCGTGCCGCCACTCGACAAGAATTCTCTCGCTCCTTTAGACACCCTCCCTTTTTCGTCGATCGGATTGAAATCCGAATGTCGTCGACTCGTTCGGGCGCACTCGTAGGAAACGGATTTCGGGACTTCAACAGGTTGGGAATTCCGCACGCATCCTTTGAAGCATCTGTCGACAGTGCCAGCTGATTACCCCCATCCTTCTCCCTTCCCTTATTCTTGTTAAAGAGGAAATTACAATCGTAATTGTATTGTGAACAGAATCGTGCTCGTTACGTCTGCAGGATATGCCATGGACTTGGATATATTTTGCAGATAACAGACAGTTAAAAATGATTGCGGAATAAAATGATGATGGAAGTGCATCGGGACAGCGATGAAGCCTAAAATTGTTATGAATTAAGCTTGCATAACGTGAATAATCTTGAAGCTCTATATTTAATCATAGAATACCGATAACAGGCACGTTCGCTGTCCATTAAATGTCACCAATCGATTTCAACCATTCTAATATGAAAATTCCGCGTTTGACGAATTCCAATTATTCTCTGCTTCGTATCAAGTACGCGTCGTATGAAATCGCTGAGATTGCGTTATGTTATTTAAATCCCAACTCTGCTATTTATCAATTTTAGTGAAATTTTATTATTTTACTTATGACGCGTATTTTTCTCTTTCTGTTTCTTTTCCCTATATTAGAAATTATAGTCGTTTTCCATTGAATCGTAAATGTTATATTTATATTGTATATAATATTCGTATATAGCGCATTTTCGGCTGGCGACATACGTTTCGACGACGTTATATAACATGAATTTTTATATAAACATTGAAAAATTCTGTGATTCTATTTATAGGGATAAGAAGCGGTAGTTAAACATAAACAAAGCCTCTTGATAGCGATTTTGTTTACATACGCTTGTACATAAAATTCGAAGTGCGGTGCTTTTTTTATAGCGGACCCTTCTGCTCTTTCGCAATATTCCTCACACGCGCGCCGAAATATCAGGAGAAATGCGTCAAAAAAATATCTTCGTGAGTACCACGCAACATTTCGAAATCGCGGAATAATTTAGACGCCAAATCGAGCATTGCTCTGCAGTAAAAAAAAAAAAACGAATTTTGTCGAATTTAATCGGAACGCGCGCAATGGTTCTGCGTTCGTCGGACGCGAATGCGTGTGTACGTGCGTGCGTCGTATTTTAATTCGCGCTTTCCCGCACTTGACAGGAAGAAAATCGAGCAGACACGAAGCGGCTCGAGAATGTTTCCGGGTCATTTCTTGACATAGGACGATATCGGAACGCACGGAATGTTCGTGTTCGTTCGGAGCACATTGTGATATTTTGAAATCGCGGGCCGATCGGGGCCGTCGAGCCGAGCGCACCCGAGGAAAAACGGAGTTGACCGAAGATGCATTCGAAACGCGGAACGGGAGTACTTCACGGAGTTCGCGTCGCGATTTTCCGTCTGTGTAATAATCGTCAAATTGAGCGATTTCGAACCGTTTTCTGCCATGAGAATTCCATCGAGACGTGTGAACGAGGCGAATATTCGAGTTTCGGAACTTCGAAATCGATGAGCAACTCGGGTATGAGCTCGAATGCGATCGGAGAAACGTGAAATTTCTTGAAACGCGTCGAAGCGTATCGCTCGAAGCGTCGAATGGCGTGCGTATATGCGTCCTATAATTTTCCGAGGTTAATAAATGAGAAATATTTTGACTATTTTATCGAGTTGCTTCATGCTATGGAAAGATGAGAGCTAGGGTTAGATGTACGTATGTATTTTAGTATTTTCGAATTTCAGGTTAGGATCATTCATCTGCAAACTGCGCGGTGCGCCTGCCGATGGACGCGATGTCGCGGCGCCGCGCCGCGGCCGCGAAGGCGACGGCGCGATGGACGTGAGCGCAGTCGGATCGTAGTGAAATTAGCTGAGGACGCGATCGAAATATAGCGTCGCTCTTCATACCGAACGCGCGTAGAACGTCGTGTAACCCGTTTTCATCTGTGCAACGTAAGCAAATTGGAAGATTATGATTTTCTAGATTTTTGAGATATTCGCGAAGATACTTTCAGTTACGCGGAACATTCTTAGAAAATCGAGATAAAATGCAAATATTTTGTGATCCGTACGAAGCGTATCTTATTCGTGCCGCGTCGCTTTGCATTTTTGCAAGTGTTTGCGCGATTTTAAGAAAGTCGGGCGTATAAACGAAACAGAGTTTACAGTATAAGACTTGCGTTTTAGGTATCGACGGTCTTTTCGTGGATGGATGGAAAGAGAGAGAGAGAGAGAGAGAGACACCCTGGATCGTTCCTGATGAGGTCAAAACACAGCGCAGCGGTTGCGGCAGACGCTTGCAGCAGGTTGGGTAAGTAGGTATGTAAATATTTTTCTATTTTTTCACAAATAGTTTTCCACTGAAATTTACATAACTCGTTTAGTAAAATTTTACTTTTGATAAAGCCCCTGTGTGTTTCTTGATTTACATAGAAACAAAATAATATAAAAATGTCGATTTTTTTGCAAATTTTGATGAATCCCTTGCGAATTGCGTAGAAATAAAAATTATATACGAAATTACGCGTATACGAACAACATTGATCTTTACGAACAATATTTTCTTGGATACGAACTTATGATATGCAATTTTGATAACACAATTAAATTTATTATTGATAGTTTTATATATCCAAAAGAAGAGAAAGTAAATGTAAAAAGAATTTATTTGTGTGGCTTATTTGGTATTATCATTTTTTCGAAAGAGAAAGTTTTCCAAATTTTAATTTTTTATTTTATTGAACTTACAAATGTCTGTGTATTTTAATATTAATTGAAAATTAATTGTATTAATGATATTCTATTAATTAATTAATGTGATCATGATTAATTAATCGTACAAAGCAAGATTTATAGTTAATGTGTTTCAATCATATATATATATATATGAACCAAATCAAAGAGAATTATATAATTATTAAAGATATTTCATATCTCATATTTTTTTGTCACAAATTTATAATTTATTTATATTTTACGGCACAAGATTAGCTAATATAATTAACGTAAGATTAATTAACGTAAAATTTAATATGGAATAAATCGAACTATACATGCTATCACGTTCCGCGATCAGTAGTATAAGATTTTAGTAGTATAAGATTACCATATACATCTCCTTATATATATGCATGTATTGGTAACTATTCTGTCATTTACTTGGTTACATCGTGCCGGCTTTATCTATAGTAGCCAAAGCACCCATTCCTGTAATTAGATATTTAAGGATACGTTACAACGTGATCGATTTCATGAGTATCACCGTGACATCAACTTAACAGAATTTCTTAGCAGAATCATGAACTGAATGTTGCTGTAGAGTAAATACTGTTCTAATTAATTTTGAAATTAATATTTTAAAATATAGTAAAGAATATCACACATATTAGCCAGAATATAACGGAACATGCCAAAATCAATTTTTCATTCTGATTTATTTATTATGCGTTCTTTTAGATTATTAGAGACTTTTAAATATTCTCAAATTTTCTAGATTTTTCAAGTACTCGCTTTTTAAATTTTTACTTGCGTTATTATAATAGAATGAATTAATCAACTTTTATTTAAAATATTTTTCATATCTCGTATAATATAATTAAAACGTAAAAAACTGCATCTTTTTAACGTACACAGGAATATTTGTATTAATTACTACATATATTTAAGTCTCATATAGTATGGTGATTAAAGAGATGAGAGACATTATATTATTCTGTTTTTATAAATTTCGA